AAGTGATTATAGAAGGAACTAATGTGGTTATCATTTTATAATAAGAAATAAGGGTTTTCTTAAAGGATCTTTTCATCAAATATAAAGGAACTATTACAGTTAACTCCGTGAGTACTGAGTGAATACGCAGGGGTTATATACAACGATGATCTAACAACCAATGAGATGTGTGTCTTCCGCCTCATTTCCTGTTCCTTGTTTGGTTGTGGGCTTAGGGCAGATACACACAACCGATTGTTTGTTTACTCTGGGTTTTATATAACTTGTATCCATTTAATACGCATAGAAAGGACTGTTGAGTCATTTTTACTTATCTTTCATCAAAGCAGGAAATATAGGATTTTCTGGAGGAACATGCAAACTTTTCTAAACAGAACTTACGACGTACTACATTTTTTCAACTACATTTTTACAACAACTTTCTACAACTTACTTGCATCACTAAAATCTTATGAACTCACCAGCTTAATTGCTGATCAACTCTTTCAAATAACTTGTATTCTCAGGAACCTAGTAGACAGGTACTCGCGCTGGGAATTCAGAAGATGGAGCATAATAGCTTCAAGTCTTGTTTTGTTATTTGCTTTTGTATTCTATGTTTTGTGAACACACACATTGTAAACACTTTCTTTCTAATGAAATGGTTGTTCATTACTTTGCTTACTATGATGCATGTCTTGTGATACTAAACATGACGTCCTCCACCCCCGAACGTTTCCGCCGTTCCGGTTTTGGGGTGTGACATTTGCTTTTCCAGTTCTGTGATGACTGCTGGGTCCACAGTTTTCCCCGCCTCGGGAATTGGATTAGCAGGAATTGGTGCCAGTTCTGGGTCCAACACAAAGGAAAGCTTCAAAACATGAAGCATGAACTTGACCTTTTCGGCCCAACGGGTGTAGTTCTGACCATCGAATTGGTCAAGTTTGGCAAACTCTTGGTTCATGAAGTGGAGGCTAGCAGTAGTGTCCATTAGTCTATTGATGTATCACAAATAAAAAAACCTTTAAGAATGTTGAAAAACCAAACTAATAGACACGCAAGGAAACCGACAAATAATATTGAGAATTATGTGTCGATTAGTTGTGAATAATAGATCCAATTATTATTATTATATTTACCCAGTTTCGTCCAAAACCAGATCAATCCTTCACGATTAGATCTGATTATAAGAAAGAAAGAAAAAGATTGTCCTGTTGTTGGACGAAATTAAATGCAAGACAGAAAGTAAAACCGACCTGTTAATGGTTAATCTTGAACTTCAAGTAACTGCACGGATCGGACTCCTGTCCTTAAAGGTTTTTTACTTCGCTTCTACTGGCTGTAAGCAACTGAGTAAAACCCCAGGATTTAATGCAGATCTATCGATCTTCCAACAGCACTGGAAATCGACAAACACAAAGTGAATACTCGGAAACCAGAAGAAAAAACGCAGAGAGTGGGAGGATGCTTTGATTTTCGTGAGTGTTCAATACGGCTCCTAGGGAGTTGTATTTATAGGTATTGAAACCCTAGAAGGCATGAAATAGGCCCCCATAGGTCGGCCCCAGAAACCTTAGGGCGACGGCTTGCTCTCCAAGCAAGCCGTTTCTTGATCCTTCTAGAATATCCCGACTTGTCCTCCACGAAGTCAACGACGGTCAACCATTTGACCGGATCGGCTGGATCGGTCAAACCGGCTTGACTCGAACTCGTCAAAAAAAAGCTCCTCAGCTCCCAGCGACCGATGCGTCGTGCACCTAAATCGCGCACTCTGCTAGTGCTAGTCTAGGCGCGCGTGTGCTTGGCCCATTCATTGATCCACTAAAGCCTTTGAAGACCTATCAAGGGATTAGGCATATAAACCCACTAAAAGTTTCTTCCCCCACCAATGTGGGATAGAGGAAACTTGCCAACTTGCAATTTCCACTATAATTTCCAACATTGGTTACTACCACTTTTAAAAAGACTGTTTTGTCCTTATTGGTATTTTTTATATTTTAAATTTCTTTTAATAAATATGTCGTATTTTTCTTATTTTTTATTATTATTAAAAAATAATAATAATTAGATATCTGGGGTCCACCTCTTCCTCCACCCACCCACCCCCTCCTGTTCACCCTTTTCTTCCGGTCTTCTTTCACCCAACCCCGGACAACCGCTTTGTCTTCTCCGGTAAGACCACAATCAAACCACCACCACCCTCTTTGTCTAAAGTTAATTGCTGGAAAAATCAAAGCAAGAACCAGAACTTAAGCAAATCACCACGAGATTTGAATTAAATCATAAAAGCTTAGCGGAAAACAGAAAATCATACCACCATATGATGCAAACCTTAAGAAAATCAAACCAGACCCCATATTTGAAGCAAACACCGAACAAACTGACAAATTTGAAACAAAGCCAAAAAATCAAACCTGAAGGAAATTGTTAGAGAAATCAGATCGGGAGAACATGTACAGAAACCAGATTATCACAGATGGTGGAAGAGAGAGTGTGATGGGGTGTCTTTCTATTTCAGCTTCACCGGAGAAGGCATCAGTTTCAATGGCGGCGATGGAGTTAGCTATAATGGATTTTATTGGTGAATCTTCCACATGGTGGTGTTAGCTCCGGTGGCGATAATGTTAGAGGCATTGGTGGCTGAAAGATATGAGGTGGTGGCACCTGCCGACGAGATCGTCGACTTCGACGGAAGCTCCGATGATGGAGAGGGTGGAGGAAAGAGGAAGAGTTTCAATTTCAATGGAAGGAATAAACGGATTAAGATTGAATGTGTTTGAGTTAGGAGATCATGAGGTCGAGACATTTTTTATTATATTAAAAAAAAGAATAATTATTTAAAAAAAATGCCAGTTAGAGAAAAGTAATCCTTTTCAAAGGACAAAAAACACAATAAACTAAATAATAAAATCTGTTTAAAAAAAGGGTAAATTACACCATTCGTCTCTCGCGCACATGCCAGAAAGCGTGTTTAGTCCCTATTTTCAAAAATTAACTCGGACCGTCCCTCATTTGGTTAATAGTTGCGTGATACATCCCTCATTAGTTTTAATTTGCGAGCTACATCCCTTGCGAGACCTAAAATGACTATTATGCCCTTGTATATTTCTTTTCCATTTAATTTAATGTTATAAGTATTATTTTTTAATTTAAAAATAAAAGAAAACACAATATGCCCCATTTCATGCCCCCACCCTAACAAATCATTGGATGAACATCACCTGCATCTCTCAAACACCATACATTCATCGCCAACTTCCCAATTCAACCCTTCTTCGTCAAACATATACCTTATAACACCTTAAAACCCACCACCAGCTTCCTACCTCCTCCTTTGTCGGGTTACATCACCATCGAAACACCCTTGTTGCACCCCTGTTCATCATCACAAACCACAACCAACACCCAATTTAAACCATACCTTCAAAATTGGAAAAACCCACCACAGTCGGAACCACCTTCGTACAACCTGCACCATTCGAACATCATCGGTTCATTGACTCTAAACAACAACTACCACCTGCCTTATATTACCCTCGAAGCCAACCATCTCTATCCCCCCAGTTTCTGAACTATATCTTTACGAAAACCGCCTAGAAAAACAACCAAATCAGCCCCTAAAAACCATCTTAAACACCGCCCGGAATGTGATCACCTTTCCGTCTCCATTGTCGATGGAGAAGATTTTGGTTCGATCAGAACCCGCTTCTCCGATCTGAATCTCCATCATCTTCGATTTATAAGTTTAGGGTTTAGTTTGGTTTTATTTGCAGGTTTAGGTTTCATTTTTTGAGCTTTGAGTAATGATTGTGGTGATTGCAGGTGGTGCTGGCAGTCTATGAGACAGAGTGAGAGAGATGATCGATTAAATTCAAAGAAGTAGAAAGGAAATTGGGGAAAGGATAAACACAACTTACTTCTCTCTTTTCGATCTTCTAGTTTGCTGCAAATTGAGAACAGTTAAAACGAGAGGCGACTTAGGGTTGAGTGGAGATATGAGATGGTGGTGGTGATTGTGGTGTTGTTGATGATTCCACCGACGATGGTGGTGCTGTTGATGATTCCATGTACAGTTCCTTCTTGAGTTCTAGGGTTTGATAGAGGCGATTGGAGGAGGATGAAGATCGACTGGTCCGATTTTGGTTTATCGCATTTGGGTGAAGGTGAAGGTGGGGCTGATGGGGCTTTGCCGGCGTTGGGAGTGGCTGAGAATGGGGGACAAAGGTAAAGGAATACATAGGAGGGGGAAGTGGGGAGGGGTGGGTTCATGTATGTTTATTTATTGTTTTTTTCTTTTTTTTTTAATCTAAAAATAATAAACAAATAAAAAGAAAATTAAAAGAGAAATAAATAAGGGCAAAATGGTCTTTTTATGTCCAGAGGGACGAAACGTGCAAGTTTAAAACGAATGAGGGACCGTCCGAGTTAATTTTTAAAAATAGGGACTAAACACGCTTTTTGGCATGTGCACGAGAGACGAATAGTATAATTTACCCAAAAAAAATTAAAAACCAATCATACAAATTCCTCCTGACGGCATAAACTATTCATATAATTTACCCAGCTTTTAATTTATTCGTTTTATAAATACAGTAATATATAACTTTTTTCTAAGTTGATGACTTAATTGTTTAAATTAATAAATATGTATTATAAGTCCGTTAAATTAGCAATATAATAATAATATCCTATATTTAGCTTTATAAAATGGCTTCTAGCCTAGCTATCCGGTGTTGCCCTCCCTACTTGAGATTGATGATTCAAATATTATCGTGAAGATAGATTTAAGATGTAGTTTAGTAGTAGGTTAGCTTTTTCAAAAAAAATTAGCTTTATAATTATCTTTCCAAAGTTTAATAGGTGTCTTACTGGATCATTTTCCCTATATTTATGGTTACGTGGCATCAAAAGAGCAGCTACGTGTCAGAAAATAAGCATCATGAATGCACGTGTAACATGAGGGGAAGCGGCTGGTCTCCTATATAAGTGCTTTGTGGTTTCTTTACATTTGTATTATCCGATTTTAAAATGGGGAAAAGCTTGTTTGTGTTTATGTTGTTCCTTGTTTTTTTCGCTGCAGGTATTTTATTTAATTCCTGTTTCATCTCTTTTGTTTATGAAATGTTATTGTTTTTAGGTTCTCTTGTTCCACATTCATATATGAAGATTTTCGTATACATGTTTCTATCACCTTAATTGTTTTTAACTGTGTAAAATTATATTTTCTTGCTATGAATTAAGATGAAAATGATTAAATCAATGTGATTTCGAGACATTAAATTAATACGCGACTGACGATGTTTTTTTTGTTGCAGATGAGACTTTGGTGAGTGTGACAGAAGCAAAAATGTGTAGAACGACCGGCCATATGTTTAGTTGTGCGAATGATTGGAGTTGTAATAGATCTTGCGAAAAACAAGGCTTTGCTGAAGGCAAATGTGATGGTATTCGTCGTCGTTGTACGTGTTACAAGCAGTGTTAAACATATATATGCTTTGTGAAACTACTTTTACTATGTAACATTAGTCGGTTGTACTATGTAACATTAGTCACGTGACTTTCGCCTATACCATCAGTCATATCTGATGATATAGATTATATCAATAAAGTTTGGCATTTATAATATACATACCTTCAAGTTGCAACTGTCTTATTTTCATCTGGTGTGGCAACCTTTCACCAAAGCCCGCTAAAAAAAAGCTTGATATTCAATGCAATCAACATTACAATGTAGATAAATATATTGAATTCCAAGATAATGTGCACAAAAAGATGCCCACAGCCTCCAGAAAAATCAAAACTCAGATGCTCAAATGGAGAAGTAAACCTCCTGAATGAAGACAAAAACGAAATTAAAAAACATAACTTTAGAACTCTAGAAAATCAACAATCATAACACAAAAAATATACATCAGATTAATTAGGTATCTTTAGATGTATATAAGATATCCCTTTGGAAGTGTCCAAAGTCTGAAGTCTCAAACTCTTGTCTTCAATCTTCAAATTCCGGTATCCGGAGATGGGTATACAGAATAAATCGGGACAGATGGTGAGAGGTATTCAGAAATTTATTGGAAGATGGAAGATGGAGGGTATATAAAAATCAGATATCCTGTATCCAGAATTTGGAAATTTAATATCCTTGCCACCGTCATCGTATTCAACCATTTATCATTATAATGGGTGCCGCCTTTTCACCATATTCAACCATTTATCATTATACTTGGGTGCCGCCTTTTCACCATATTCAACCATTTATCATTATACTTGGATGCCGCCTCATCACCTTATTCGACCATTGAATCCGATATCTATCACTATCACACTACTTTATATTATTTTTTTAAATAAATTTAGATAAAAAATACAATAAAAACATAGATTTATTCAAACTATTCAAACTATTTTTTCATTCAATAACATTACATCAACACAAAATTAAAAACATAGATTTATTTAAACTGTTTTTTTATTCAATAACGTTACATTAAAGACAAAATTGCAAAAATGCAAAAATGGTCACTGTGATATGCATTTTTGAGGGTTTTAGATTAAACCATGATTTTTTTGGCTTCGTGGTCCTTTTGGACTAGTTTGTATGTGAAAATAGTCATTCTGAAAATTAAAATGACTATAATACCCTTGGGGTATTTATTTTTCATTTTTCTTTAATTTTTTTTAAAATTTAATATTTATTTATTTATTTATTTTAACAATTAAAAAATAATAAGAGGACTCTCTCTCTCTCTATCTCTCTCTCTCTCTCTCTCTCTCTCTCTCTCCTCTCATCTCTCTCTCTCTCTCTCTCTCTCTCTCTCTCTCTCTCTCTCTCTCTCTCTCTCTCTCTCTCTCTCTCTCTCTCTCTCTCTCAAACCCAATTAAACAATAACCAATATTCCCTTTCTTTCATAAAGAATCTGGTGATCAGAAGCACACAAAAAAGAAATTCACGATTTCTACATCCATTTCAAATAAGAAATCCTCCGGTGCTCAATCGAACTATCCTCATTTTCCAAGTATCGATAGGTGCATACTACCGTTTTTCCTAACCTTTCGTTGCACCATCGCTGCATGCTCCTTCCCTTCTTTGCCCTAACCCGTTTTCCCTCTCATTGCCGCCAATACGCATGCTCCTTCCCTTCTTTGCCCTAAATTCCCACATGAACTCACTGATTTCTCTCCATCAGGCGTCCATGAAGAACTTTGGATAGTCCAACTCTTTATGCTTAGAATTCATCAATATAGCTCCCGCTTCCATTCCTTTTACTGTAATTTTTGTTCCACCGTGTACTTGACTCTTGTAAACAAACCCCAAATCTATTGCGACCCAGTTCGTGTTCATTGGATAAGTTTTTGGTTACGTTTTTTGGAACTTAAACAGAGAAGGGGAAATGATGCTCGGTCTAGGACATTTAATAGGAGCAGGTAATGACGCCATTACATGTAACGCCTGCAGATCCGGGCTAGTCAATTTAGAGACAATGAGCATCAAAAACGAGTTTTTGATGGAAGATTATTTAGAAGGAGTAATCTTAACCAAGTTGTAGAATATGTCACAAGGGTTCCGTACATATAAAGAATGCCGAAATCCGAGTTATAACGAAGAAGTTATGGCCCGTCGAAGTTTCGCGACAAAACCGGCACGACACTACGCGACGTAAATAGTGAATTTACGATAGATGACTTTTTGGCCTTAGTGATCTAAACAAAAGTTGTAATATACGTTAAAACGAGAGCGTGCATAAAAAGAACGCCCAAATCTGACTTCGTATGAGGAAGTTATGATTTTTCTAAGATTTGGCCTAGCAGTGCACGACCCGAAACTCGAATTTTAGTTCGAACGGTTTTTGGCTTACGCGACCTAAATGAGAGTTGAAGATCTCATTAATAGGAACTCAACGGTAAAAAGACAGACGAAAACAGAGTCTGTATGAAGGAGTTACGAATTCTTCGCGGTCATTTAGCAGTCTAATCACCTCCTACTGTTAAATTTAAGATCGGTTGAGAATTAGCCGACAGAGTCTAAATGAAAGTTTTAGATATTGTTTTTACCTACGCGTGGATATAAAGAATGTCGAGAGTAGAGCTCGTATGTTAAAGATATGGACGAAACTTGGTCCCTACTCTTCGAGCGCGATAAATTCGATACGGTTTTGTAAATCTGAGATAGAATGAGAATTAGTTGACGGCGTCTAAATGAAAGTTGTAGTACTCGTAAATACCAACGCGTGCATATAAAGAACGTCAAAAATGAAGTTCGTATGAACGAGTTACAAATTATAATAGCATATTTACGTATTAAAATAAAGTATAAACCATATATACGTATACATATATATACAAATGTATATATCATTAGAAACGTATCGACGATGCGGTTATTATAAGACTAGTGTTGACTACTTTCGACATTAGTTTAGTACAAATATCGTTAAATCTATTTAAAATAGTATTATGAAGGGGTGTTTAGTCGTTTATATAACTATAAGGTCATTAAGTAATTATGGAGGGTAGTTTTTGTAAATTCAATTACTATAAATAAGAGGCTTGGGCTCTCATATTTCTTGCACCATTCTCTTGATTCAAGAGTCTTTCTCTTCTTATCCCCGAACATTTCGGTCCCTCGTGATTCGACTTCTCTTTCTGTAGTTTTAGTATAGTAAGGTGAGCGCTTAAGCGCTGCACGAATCTTTCTTAGAAAGATTCAGCGACGAAGTTCTGCCCCTGCAGAGCCCGACTCCTAGCTAAAACCCCCTTGTAAGTAAGTTATGCTTATCTATTTTAATACAGCTTATATTAAAAATTAGTATTGTTATTATGAACTTATAATAAATATTTGAGCTATTATTATGACTTATATAAGTGTCGTTATAATATCTTTTTAACTACTCGCGGTACGGGGAATCTGGTTTAAAGGGCCGCATAGGGTTGTTGGATTTCAGAAGTGCTATATGCCAAAATGGTCCTGCCCTCGCTTATATAATAATAATAATAATAAGACTAATAATTAGTCACAGTAAATATTAGACTAAAATCTAGTGGTAATAATACTAGGTTTCGACGAAGGAAATTATTTTAAATTAAACGAAGCGTTGTCCGAGTACCGAGTCACCACCTTATCAAGTGAGTGCGTAGTTACTTTCATCTTACACATAGATATGCAGTATTTTATATAAACTACGTGTTATGTGTGCATATTATCTGAGTACTTGCTGTCTATGCTGGATGAACGATTTTATACATATTTTAAATGATTTGAACTGTATATATATATATATCTACGATAATATGTTGGGTAAAACATGGGTAGATGTAATAGATGGAATATGAGTTGGATGATGAGTTGAGAGGTGTTATAGACCACGAGGTGAGTGTGAGAGGTGGACGATGTGAGAAGCCTTTTCCAAATGATGGCCCCGTCATCTAGCAGAGTATGGATGACAACCACAGACTATTCCTTAGGATGATCCTTAGGAATGAATGAATGAGGAATAGTTGATTCTTAGGGTAGATCCTTAAGAGTAAAGAAGATAATGGGGATGGGTAATTGGGTTGATTGTTTGATGTTTAAACATAATAATTATATTATTGTGGATTGAAAACCCTATGTACTCACCAGGTTTCCCAACCTGACCCACTCAAGCTTATTTGTATCACAGGTGTCAATACGAAGCTACTTTACACTGAGAGATTTAAAAGAGATGTAGATCACTAGTGTAAATGAATGTAAGTTCTGTTTATGCTTATGTTTCTGTATTGACGATGACATCCCAAATGTTTTAAAATGAATAAAAATACATTTTTTCGGAAATGCTTTGATAATGTATTTATCATGTTTTACTGGGAACTAATTCCGCAACATTTTTATTAAAAGAAGTACTCTGATTTTTATAAAGCATAAACAAAATCGGTCTTTTCTGGCCGTGAAAATGGGGATGTCACATTACAGGTGCAAGTGCTAGAGCATTGTGCTTCTTTAATTGGAGACTGACCAATGTGGGTGGGGAACTCACTGGCTCTGCAACAGGTTTTATTATAGGTTTGATTTTGATTTTAGGTCATACCGGTGATGTTTCCTCTTTTAGTATCCGAAAAAATCGATTCCAAAAAGTGGTTTGTATGGGGAACTGTTAGGAGATGAAGGTGAAAGAATGGGGTGATGTGTCTGATCGTAGGTGCAACAGGTCGGTCTGGTGTTCGATATTTGGGTTCATCAGCATGTGTGTGTATGTGTGTGTTGAATCAAGTTCATCGGTGTGTGAAAACTCATAACAAGCTGAATCAGTGTGTGAAGTTTGTTGAATCGATGTGTTGTTCGTTGAATATGTTTTTCGGGTGTATGTGTGTGTCTTTTAAAACTGGACCTTGAATTTTTGTTTCTAAAAGATGAATAGATGAATGAAGAACGTATCTTCAACTGGTTAATCCAAGAAACCTGAGTTCATGAACAAACAAGAAAGAGAGAGAGAGAGAGAGAAAGAG